TATGCTTGGTACTTCGGTCAACAAAATCAATGATTTGCATAATAATTTTAGACTACACAGAAATTACATTATATGTTGCCAATTTGAAATAGCTAAAATAAAAAAAACCATGGGAAATACCGTAGATAAGGCTCGGAAATGCACGAAATAAAATAAATGTCAAAATGAAATAACTCACCGCTCTATCAATTCTTTCTTACGACCAGACAGTTTTGCATTTCTTTTTTTCAACTCCTCTCGCAATTCGGTGATTGTCATGCAACCAAATCTCGAATCCTCGGCGTTAAAAGACATTTTTCATCGAAAAAACACTTTTTAAAGTAGAAGTGTAAGTCTATGCACGGTTCATTTTATCCATATTTACATCGGTTGTTAGGTCACGTGGGGCCCCCTGACAGAGGCACACTCTATTTGATTACCTCCCCTTATCGCTAGCGAAGATGCCCATTGATGAGATTAACTGAGTTAATCTCACTGAAGTTATATTATACACAACAGACTACTAATGTATAGATTGTTCTTCAGTATAACACTATCATGTGAATATTATGCCATGATTTGACGATGTATTTGGACTAAAAACATATTCAAACTAATTAATCTATCAAAATTTTGCTACAAATCCTTTTCAAAACACTGTTTAGACGAAGGAATACCCCTGCTATAAAAAATCTATTAAAAGAGGTCATAATTGTGTCACGTGACTTAGCTGACGACTACCTAGCAACTGGAGCGAATTCGGAGGAGAATTCACTGCATACACAAGACGATGTTGTCTTTAATCAGTATCAATTTATCATAAATATCTAAGCTTAATTAAATTCTCGGATTATCCACTGCCCACGCCTTTTTCCGTGATTTGTATCTCAGAAAGTGTTGTACGTCTAACTCTTCATAAAGTTTATCAACATGTATATCAAGTGCCCAATCTCTGCGTGCAACCTTTGACGTCACGTAAGCAGACATTCCTAATCGTCGGGCTGCCAATTAGGGAAACCCTTACATTTTTGTCCTGTATACACTCTATAAATACTTTTCTGGGAATGTATCTTTAACAATGGAACTATGAACACTCGGTTATCAATGAGTGTTGTTAATACAAATGACTATTTCTAAGAACAGGGCAGACTAATAATTTGTTGTTTTAAAATTTAGGTCTATGTAGGTCTATAGAACAATGATGGCAAGGTAATATATGTGATCATGTGATTAACCCAATAGCACGCAGAACGTCCGCCAACGTCCGTACTATATTTCCTCAGAACGTCCGTCAACGCCCGGGTGTTTATATTGTCCGCTGTATCAAAAATACTGCACTGAGATCATTGATTCACGGCTCCTTTGATAGCTAACATATGTGCCGACACGCTCGAGGTGTGAAAACCGGGTCATTGTATTTGACTTTTCCGAGTAAACAAAGCGTGAACTTTGATACCGGAAGATAACGGTAGTCATGTGACTAACTGGTTTTTTCCTCTGACCTGCATTACTTGTGACCTGCATTCCACTGTTTCAAAATGGCTAGCACAAGTAAAGGAATGGATGTTACGACTGCATTGGGTCTTTTGATGGAATCGGATTCAGAATTGGAAGAAAGTAGTGGCGAGGAATCTGATGGTTATCCAGACCATTCGGATTTAGAAATCTCTATGCAGGTAGGTTTTTTTATCTTCAAAAATCGTACTTATTTGTTTCGTTTTCTCTATGAAACGTGTTTGTAACTTTGTCGACAGTCTAGTCCTGAGGATTCATAAGGGGTTCATGTGTTTGTTTTATTCAAACTAATCATTTTTGGGGGAATAATGTGCGTATGTTGAGAATTTATTTGTTGAAGTTGTGAGAGACGTCATGAAGTGAGTGACATAGATATACTTTGTTTCATTTGTTTACAAATGGCTAGACCTACTAACGGTAAATTGCTATTTTGGTGTCACGTGACAATATTCCCCCGAGGCTAATACAATAATTATTTCAATAGGCTATTGTTTTTAGACGCCTCGATCTTGCCACTTTTTCCTATTTTGTTTTATTATAGATGTAAGCCTAAAAAAATAAAATAGACATTGGCTACTGTTGAAACTGCAGTTTGCAACTATCCATGCTCATTACAAGTAGAATATTTATTCAGGCTTACCATAAACAAGATTACAAAAAATGTTATAAAGCTTGATAGTGTGTGGTTATAAAAACTTGACTTACAGAACAAATATATTTTTATATTTTTAGATTGATGATGAAGACACTGATAGTGATCTTGACTGGGCTGCTCCAACAGTATCCGATAATGACTCCGATCTACCTGATATTTCACCAGCCTCCACACCTCCACAAGATGATAATGCACCAAGAGGTCGTCCAGCAGCAAGGGGTCGTCCAGCAGCAAGGGGTCGTCGAGGCCGTGGCAGAGGAAGAGTTCGAGGTGATAACCAGAGACCCCCCTTGGACCAAGGATGGTCTTATGACATGCCAACACCAAACATTTTACCCTTCAGAGAAGATCGGGGGCCAAAATGCAACCTGGCCTATGATGCCCTTGAAGTTGACTACCTACTTGCATGTATTGGTGAAGATTTTTTTGAGAAGGTGGCGAATATGACCAACTTATATGCGGTGTACCAGAGTCCGCCAGACAACCCAGATCCTGCTGATCCTCTCAAGACTTCCGACTCGCACTGGACACCTACCACAACAGACGAGATGAAGGCATACTTTGCCATAATGATGCTAATGGGAATCAAAGAGCTTCCTGAGTATGCAGATTACTGGTCGAATGATTCAGCATTGGGTGATCAATATGTAAGTTCCCGGATGTCTCGTCGCCGCTATGAATCCTTGAGTAGGTACTTACACATTACATATCCAAACAATGAAAATAAAGAAGACAAACTTTGTAAAGCCAGGCCATTTATTGACACACTACAAGACAAATTCCCAAAATTATTCGGCCCTGGACCAGCTCTCTCGATAGATGAAGCCATGATCAAATACAACGGTCGTATAAAGTGGAAACAGTATATGCCCAAGAAACCGACAAAGTGGGGAATGAAACTTTGGTGCTTATGTGATGCAAGTACTGGCTATTGCCTAAAATTTGACGTCTACACTGGCAGATCAGATGATGATGCTCCTGACAAAGGCCTTGCCTACCAAGTAGTAATGGGCCTAATGGAGAAATTTATTTTATCCAACCACCAATTATTTTGCGACAACTTTTTTACCTCGCTTGACCTGGTTAGAGACCTAAAAGATGCTGACACATACTATTGTGGAACAGTAAGAAAGAATCGTAAAGGCCTTCCTAAATCCATTGATGAACCACGTCTCGCCCCTGGTGAAAGTGTGAAGATGGCCACTGACAGGGATATTATCTTCTGTAGGTGGAAGGACAAACGGGATGTTTATCTTGTCTCCTCAAATAATGATGGTTCGGACACCGAGAAGCCCAGAACACGCCATCGCCAAGATGAAATGATTCAGATACCAACCATGGTGGTAGATTACAATAAGAACATGGGAGGTGTAGATCACCTTGACCAGTACAGATCTTATTATAATCTTGGACGTGCTGGAAAGAAGTGGTGGACGTATCTGGTTTTTGCCTTGCTAAATATAGCGGTTGTAAACGCTTATATTTTGTGGTACTCATCTAGGATGCCATTGCCAAAAAATAAGAGAAAGTGGTCCTTGAAGACATTCAAACTGAGAATAGTCCACCAGTTAGCAGACAATTTTAGTTCTCGCAAACGTAAATGTTCATGGGAAGGAAGAGAAATACAGAAAGTCATCGAGAGAAACATAATGCCAGGACATGACCTTGTTAGGTTTGATGGAAGAAAGAGAGCCTGCCAATGGTGCCTGAAAGAAAAGAAAAGAACTGCCTCTGATCGCTGTGTGGTATCAAGTTTTGGGTGTTCGCACTGTCGAGTAAATCTGTGCCGTGATGGTGATTGTTATGTAAAATTTCACGGAATAATTTGAATTTGAAAATACAATGTCAGGTGAATAACAATGATGTGACCAAAATAAAACTAATTTGACTTGACTTGAATAATATGAACAGAATAAAACTAGTGTGAATTGGATAAACATGTGAACAGTTGTGACAATCAGTGATAATATAAAATAAAAAAAATGCTCTATTATTTTTTGTTTTTTTATTTTAGCATCCTTTTTTTTTATCCTGTATGCATGTAGTTATTTCTAATAAGTGGTAAAAGTATGTCTGAAGTCTTGAATACCGGTACATGCAAACAGGATAAAAAATATATATATATAGGCGAATATAAAAAAAATAATTTTTTTTTATTTATATATCCATTACTTTCAAAATGGTTTATGGTCACGATTTATACCTCTGTGATCTAAAAACTACATACCATTGGAAAGATAAATTTATTAGCTATAAAATAACACTTGGTTGTAATGTATGATTTTCAATAGCTTTTTCATGATAGTTGAATGAACAAAACAGGTCATTTATTAGGTCAAATGTATATTTTAAGCGTTTGATATTATGGAATCATTAATTAAACTTGTGGCAGCTAATGGGTTAAGAGATAGCCATGCAAAAAGTGGAAATATGCCCACACAGCAGTTTATCCAAAAAGAAAACTTGGATGTTAACGAAATTTGACAAGAATCTATATAGGATCCTTCAAGAAATCTAATCTCTATCGTGTTCACAACTTTTCCGGACACATTATATATCTCTGGAACCGAAACTCCTAATGCTGAATACTGATAGCGTTATAAATCTGTTAAAAACTGTAGCCTTTTATCACGTTTTTCTGAAAAGGGGGGAGAACACAGTAACGAAAGGTCGTGTAGTGCTCAATATCGATAGGGGTCGTCCACTCATGACCCCAATGCTGGACATGAAATTTGAAAAAAAATTTGTTACAAACTGCAGCCTCTATCGCGTTGACAAGCCAATTGTTGACGGACAGACAGGCTTTTTTGACAAAATATTGAAATTTCAAATAATCTGTTTTTAAACTTACCTTTATAACCGTATCAAGTTTTTCATACGAATCTGACTGACAAGTTTTTAAAACATCATCAATAGTTTCTGTTGGTACAATCTGTCAATAAAAATATTTTGACACATAACAAAAATATTTCGGTTTTACCCTCCAAGGAAAACCAGTATTTCAACAAATTTCTAATAATCCAAAACAAAACACACTAGAACTGTGACGCAGTAATGACAGGTTTCACCGGTGCCCCGTTACCCTTGAACATATGTCACTTCCGGTGCCGATGAAACTATTAAACAGGTTTCCATGTAAGCATTTTCACACATCAAATAAAATGTACGCAGAATCAACCAAATCCCGCAATATCAATTCATTGTATACATTTGTTACATGTAAGTGATCCTGACAAAATTACATTACTTCCGGTGATAATGAAAATTCTAAATTAGTTTTATGAAATCATAAATGGCATAAGGCATCACATGGTGAAATTTTTTATGTAAATCGAATAATAATTGCCACTTTAATAGAACAAAAACCTTGAAAAGTGACCTGTAGAAAATCGTCTATTTCTCTGCAACCGTACAAGTTAGAAACCATTTTTTGGTATCTGTATGATCGTGATGGTTCAATCTATTTGTTGATTGGAATCAAATATCATAATTTTAAAAACAATACAAATCATTTGAATAAAATATCTGTTTTGAAGGCTAAAAATACAGTTTTTGCCAAAATGACGTTACTTCCGGAGACAGAAAAAGTGTTAAATTACTTGTATAAAATCGTAAATGGCATTAGGTATCACACACTGGAAATGTTATGAAAATCGAATAATAATTGACACTTTTATGGACCAAAAACCTTGAAAAGTTACCTGTTGAAAATTGTCTATTTCCCCGCAACTGAACAAGTTAGAAACCATTTTGTGATATCTATATGATCGTATGGGTTCATTCTATTAGTTGATTGGAATCAAATATCAAAATTTTAAACAAATAACAAATACGACTCGTTTGAATAAATTACTGGTTTGAAGGCTATAAATATATTTTTTGCCCAAGTTACGTCATTTCCGGTGACATTGAAAATGTTAAATTGGTTTGACCTAGTTAAAATTGACATTACGCATCAAATGGTGTCACTTTTAAGAAAATCCAATAATAATTGACACTTTTACAGGCAAACTAGCGTAAAAAGGGACTCATGCAAAATTGCCCATTTCTCGGCAACTGCTTATATTACAAACTAATTTTCACGTACATTCTCTTTGTATGGATTATTGCTACTAGTTTATGAAAGTTGCGAAAAAATATATTAAAATATGAAAAGCCTGAATGGGTTGTAAATAGCTCATTTTTTCACCCTTTTTCACCTTAAAATCGAAATTACCCGAAAACGAAATCGAAATTAAAAAAAGTGAGTCCGATGTTTTCTGCGCCTTTACAGGGCACACCCTTTCAGTTATACCAGATTTGAAAAAAATAATATTTGCTTTCAAAAAGTGGTACCGAACTCTCAAAATTGTAATTTTTGCTAAATTTACGTCACTTCCGTTGCCGAAAGGCAATTTTACCGGTAACAAAGAAAATGACATTTTGGACCACAGAGCATATAAACTTTGTTTTATACAAATCGAACAATAAATAATTAATCCAGGACTGAAAAACTGAATTAGCCAATGGGGGCCAAGGAAAATCAAATGACTCTTTAACCCTAAGTAAAATACCACACCACATAAAAATATTCATTAATAAAAAAGTTTTTTGTAAAAATTTAAATTTTCAAAATTTGGCGCCTAATATCTCCTAAGATTCGTCGAAAATAAAAAATCCAAAGAACTGTAGCTATGTGCCTTGTCTCTGGCTTTGTCGAAATGTATCAAATATTACAATCCGACAATTATTGATAACATTACGGCAAAATATCGAAAAACAACAACTTCGGTGATTTCGGACATTTCGCATTGTCGCAGAACGTTGGAAATATTAGTTTGTAGGTAATTGGGGGCCTTTACAAGACAGTTCCATACAGATCAGATTATAAATTTTGTCGTTTGAGGGTTTACAAGGTTCTACAAACTGAAACAAGGGTCTCAACACTGGAAGTAATCTACAGAAATTGTTGAAATTTGACAGGCTTTTTCATTTAACTAATTTAAACAATGCATATAAATTTCATACAGATCACATGATCACTTTTGTCATTCAAACGTTCACAATTGCCATAACTCTAGAAATTATTGACGGAAATTGCTGAAATTCAATAGACCTGTTTCACAAATTTAAATGATGCATATAAATTTCATACATATTGGATGATAACTATCATCAATTGAGCATTAACAAGGTTTAACAAAGTGAAACAAGGACAATAACTCTAGAAGTAATTATTGTAAATTGCTGTAATTCAATAGGCTTTTTCGTTTCACTAATTAAAATCATGCAAATAAATTTCACAAAGATTGGATGATAACTTTTTACGCGCGAATATCGCAAGGAACCAAGATTTTTGGGTTACATTTCGGTGTAAAAGTGATATATTTGAATGTTTTTTTAAATCAGATAATAATTGTTCACAAGGATCAATAAAGTGAAACAAGGGCCATAACTCTAGACGTAATAAACAGAAATTGCTGAAATTCAATAGGCTTCTTCGTTTCACTAATTTAAATAATGCATGTAAATTTCAAAAAGATCGGATGATAACCTTTGGAGTTAGAGCGTTCACAAGGATCAATAAAGTGAAACAAGGGCCATAACTTTAGATGTAATAAACAGAAATTGTTGAAATTCAATAGGCTTCTTTGTTTCACTAACTTAAATATTGCATATAAATTTCACAAAGATCGTATGTTAACTTTTGGCATTAAGGCAGTCACAAGGTCAACAAAGTGAAACAAGGGCCATAACTCTAGACATAATAAACGAAAATTATTGAAATTAAAAAGGCTTCTTCATCTCACTAATGTAAACAACATATATTTTAAAACAATTGGATGATAACTTTTGGCGTTAGAGCGTTCACAAGAAATTGTGGACGATGGACGGACGGACTGACGGCAATATACACGTCCACATTTCAATGTGGGCGTATAACAAAAACTAAAAGTAGTTTATTAATCTCAATACTCAGGAGAGCGATTTAGCTAATTTGCAGGAGTCTTTAATGACTCCCGCGAAGGAAAGTCGAGGTGTGTCGAGAGGAGTCGGAGTGAAAGCTCACCTTAAACATGAAGGACTGTATAAAATAAAGTTCTTTTCAAAGACCAGTTGTTGACAATTTATAACTATCATAATTATTTATTAAAACTTAACAAGACAAAAACCGCTACACTGTAAAACGACACGTCCTCTTTCATTCTGGTAAAAAAAAAAACCAGCGGCTGCCAGGCAGGATACGCCCACATTTTGCAAGAGATGGATAGAGAACAAGCTAAAAACAAACAGGATTTTTTGTACAATCAGGGGCAATAATCCAGAGAGTTAATGTCTGAAATGCGCAAATATCAAAAGGGACTGAGATCTTTGGGATATAAAGATATGTTTTAAGTCCACATCCTTCGTAGCATACTTTTACACAATTTACATACAAAGAACGGCCATTTTGTCCCGCAGTTTCATTTTGATTTTCCTGAAATTCAAATTCAACCTTCATTATGGTGAAATGGTGATATATTCAAACAGTTTTTAAAATCGGAAAAAAAAAAATGTTGAACTCTAGAGAATCTGCAAGCTAAAAATGTGATTTTTTGAACAATCAGGAGCCATAATCCAGGAAGTTACGTTCGGATATATGCGATTATCAAAAGGAACCAAGATCTTATTGAGTAACGGTGATAAATCCACAAGTTTTTTTTTAAATCAGATAAAAATTGTGACCTCTACATGGAATAATGCAAGCTAAAAACGTGATTTTTTCTACATTCAAGAGCCATAATTCAGTAAGATACAATCTGATAAGCGCAAATATTGAAAGGAACCAAGATCTTTGGGTTATAAACATGAATTTCAACTTTCATCAAAATCGGATCAATATTGTGACCTCTAGAGGGTTCACAACCTTGATGTAACAGATGTAATACACTATTTTGTTCGGCAGTTTTGGCCCGATTTTCATGAAATTCAAACTAAATTTACATTTCGGTGTAAAAGTGATATATTTGAACATTTTTTTAAATCAGATAATAATTGTGACCTCTAGAGGGATCTCAAACTAAAAACGCAATTTTTCGGACAATCAGGGGCCACAATTCAGGAAGTTACTATTCGATATGCGCGAATATCGAAAGGAACCAAGATCTTTGGGTTATAAACTTACATTTCAAGTATCATCAAAGTCAGAAGAAAATTGTGACCTCTAGAGGGTCAACAACATTGATATACCATATTTTTTTACACTATTTGAGTACGAGAGGCGGCTATTCTGTCTGTCAGTTTAGGGCTGATTTTCACAAAATTCAAACTCAACCATCCTTAGGGTGTAACGGTGATATATTGCAATGTTTTTTTAAATCGGATAAAAATTATGACCTCTATAGGGTCCACAAGCTAAAAATGCGATTTTTCGTACAATCAGGGGCCATTAATCAGGAATTTACAGTCCGATATGCGCAAATATCGAATGGAACTGAGATCTTTGGATTATAAACTTACATTTCAAGTTTAAACAAAATCGGATAAAAATTGTGACCTCTATAGGGTCGATAAGCTAAAAACGTGGGCGTATAAAAATTGTGACCTCCAGAGAGTCCACAACCCTGATACAACCGTTTGGTGATATATTGTAACGTTTTTTTAAATCGGATAAAAATTGTGACCTCTATGGGGTCCACAAGCTAAAAACAAGATTTTTTGTACAATCAGGGGCCATAATTCAGGTAGTTATGGTCCGATATGCGCGAATATCGAAAGGAACCGAGATCTGTGGGTTATAAACATACATTTCAATTTTAAACCAAATCGGATAAAAATTGTGACCTCTACAGTGTTCACAAGTTAAAAACGTGATTTTTCATACAATCAAGGGCTATAAACCATGAAGATACAGTCCGATACATGCCGATATTGAAAGGAACCAAGATCTTAGGGTGATAAACCTATATTTCA